CTTCTAACCGGTTCGGTAGATTTGACGAACCGGTTCTACTGAACTGGTGCGAACTGGTAGGAACCCACCTCTGGGTAAAGGTAACAAGCATCGAGGTGTCCGGTGAAAGGTAGAGATAAAAAAGGCCAACCAGGGGTGGAGCTGGCACAAGTGATAAGAACATGAGGGTGAATGTGCCAGGATAAAGGGTGCGACCAAAGGGCTCTTAAAAAGCAAGTAGGGAGGGATTTGTTCCAGGCCGTTGAGATGATCTTGAAGGTGTAATCAGTGGCCTCTTAAAAGGCAAATTGGGAGCAGTTACGATCTACGTCCGTGAAATGCAGGACTTTTAATATTTATCACAATCTATTTAAAACTTTAAACAGATAATCAGGGGTTGCTTTCCTGCCACCCTACACATCCATTTTATTTTACAACAACCCTACTCCTCCTTTCCTCCTTCCAACCTCCCTTCTCTCCCTTCTTCTTTCCTCCTCTCCTTCCTCTTTTCTTCTTCCCCTCCCTCTCCCCCCACTCCTCCTCTCTTCTTCTCCTTCCTGCCCTCTCTCCGACTGTTACTACCCCTCCCTTACTTCCTCTCCTTTCTTCTTTTCCCTCCTCTTCCTCCCTCCTTCCGTTGTTGCATTTACTTGTTTTCTTCTTCACTCTGATGGATTTTCGGGGTGGGATTCCAGCAAGCCTGGTTTCATATTTACATCAAAATAAACTTCCTCTTCCACATGTTATTTCCCATTATAATAATTCCACATATGTCGGACTCAAACTCTTACTAAAGTTAAAAATGTGCTGCTTTCCTTTCGGAATGACGTGCAGGATCTGTGTTATTTGCAAGTTTCTGATATCCTCTTCCAACACACGACAGCAGAGGATCAGGCTTGCGAATATGGCCCCATTATCATCCCCATAAATTGCAATTCTATAATTGAGATGCTCTCCCCTGCAAGGAATATTTCACTCGTTCAACTCGATTCTTACCTTGATGTTGTTCAGGTTTACTTCAACAAGGCTTGGATCGTTATCTTTAACCCTCTGCAAACTCTCTTCCACGTTTGTGGGGTTTGGTGGTTCATCAAAAACCGGGATTACCTTTTCCCCTTTAACTACATCTGAATGAAGGGGGGAAAACGTGGATTATAGGCACTGATATTTCCATTACAAGTAAATAGAAGAAGAATAGAATAACAGAGTTGGAAGGGACCTTGGAGGTCTTCTAGTCTAACCCCTGCTTACACCACCCTAATGTCCCTGCTAAACCAAATCTTCCTACAACTGCTTTACTACCAACTCAGAAAGTGAATAGCAGTTTAAATAGCAGGTTATTTTAAAAGAGGTATATTTCTTTCAGGATAATCGATTTCTAAATCACATCCTGGGGTAGATTTGTCAATAGTTAAGTGAACAGGACTTCTCCAAACGTTGCCATCCAATTTTTAAATAGGCAGTAAAGGAAATTTAGTTCATAGAGGTAGCCCTATGAAAGACATTTAATTAACTGGGTTTTATTCAAATTTAACTTAATCAAGCACTGGTTCTGTGCATCTCTTTAGACTGGCTCCACCAATGTGTCGGAGTTCATCCCTCACTCTACTTCTCTCCTTGATCCAGTTTCCATCCATTGCTTTGTGGTGCTGTGGGAAATAGGATGACTCCCGCTTTGTGTTAAGACTTTCAAACTTGGACACTCACTTGTGAAACTTTCATTGGCGACACCGTTGCTGCTTCCCACAATATCCTGGAACTGGGAACTACTTATCAAGTTGTTCATTCCCAGGATGGCTGGAAGGAAAAGAAAAAGAGGTTGGGGGGAGACATAAAATCATTATTTATCCTTTCACTTCAAAGGAGGGACAAAGGGGCAATCCGCATTTCCCCGTGATTATTTTTGCAAGCCTCAATCTGGTAAAAAAGGAAGGAGAGGGAAAAGGGGTGACCAATAGCAAGGAGGGACGGATTCAGTCAAGAGCATCGTTGGAAGTCCTGAAAGCCAGGATAGGGAGAGATTGCATGAAGAAAATCTAAGTGACGACGAAGGGTTGATAGCAACCTGACCACACGTGATTAGTTAATCAACAGGTAATAGCAATAGCAATAGCAGTTAGACTTATATACCGCTTCATAGGGCTTTCAGCCCTCTCTAAGCGGTTTACAGAGTCAGCATATTGCCCC